TTGATCAACGTGAAGCATGTCTGATTGATAAATGTGAAGAAAACCTGATTTATAAATGTGAAGCATACCTGATTGATAAATGTGAAGAATACCTAATTGATAAATGTGAATCATACCTGATTGATAAATGTGAATCATACCTGATAGATAAATGTGAAGAATACCTAATTGATCAACGTGAATCATACCTGATTGATAAATGTGAATTATACCTGATCGATCAATGTGAATCATAGCTGATTGATAATGTGAGTCCTACCTGATTGATCAATGTGAATCATACCTGATTGATAAATGTAAATCATACCTGATTGATAAATGTGAATCATACCTGATTGATAAATGTGAATCATACCTGATAGATAAATGTGAAGAATACCTAATTGATCAACGTGAATCATACCTGATTGATAAATGTGAATTATACCTGATCGATCAATGTGAATCATAGCTGATTGATAATGTGAGTCCTACCTGATTGATCAATGTGAGTCCTACCTGATCAATAAATGTGAAGTCTTCTGACCAAGCCTCCAACACACTGGATTTATAGCCGCTAGCTGGAGAGTTGGTGATAGAGGTGGCCGACTCTTCACCATCATTCAGTGTTGTGGAACCATCCCACAGTGTTTCCAAACTTCCTGTAGTTGTATCGCCGGCCACGCCTTTGAATGCCATATGCCAATCTTTAAAATGAGAAAACAACAAGTGTAAGTAATTTGATTGAGGCTTCCATGGTCAATAATAGAAACATAAGAATGATCACTTTTTTTAAATATCGTTTATTTTGATTTTGAAATATCAGAAAAGAAACTGTATAAAATTGTTTGTGATACGACTAACCAATTGCTGTTGAAGATCTTCATATAAAATAAATAATATATTTCTCCATAAAATGATTGATATGTAATTAGAAATATATAAACAAATTATTTGAAATATAATGATCAATAAACTTACCCATAACAAATAAAGCCATGCAGTCTCCAGTTGCCTTGGTACCTAAATAAGAAAGATGAAACAAATCATTACATTATTAAAAAGCAAAATGACAAAAGAGTATATTTCATCTGGTAAAGTTGGTGTTAATAAAAAGTATAAGATTATGAACTTCCACAAACTAATTCAAAAAGTACTGATTGGCACATCAACAACTGGCATTTGTTAAATGTACAGTAGGTACCACGAACCTGCTGACCACGCGGTCCGTAGTCCCAGTGTCGAGTATAGCATATAAGGCATTGTGGTTCCAGTGCTGTCCGAACCACTACAACCACTGCTGGCGCCGTAATCCTTGAACATAAACCAGCCTGTCTCATCTGTACAGCCAGTGTAGTCGCTACTGATGTGGAATATTCTCTTATAATTGTCACCAGAGCTGTACAAATACAAATTATGCCATGAACTGTACATGTTAGCATGATCTTTATAAGCTGTGTCATGGATTACAGAAAGGATAAAGGAAAGAAAAGAGACAAGAAATGAATTAATAAAGAAAATTTGACAAACAAAAATAAGAAAAAAGAGGAAAAAGAAAACACAGATATCTTTTTCACTTTAAATAACTTACCGTGATTTATGATATTAATCAAACACATACTATCAGTCTGTCATCAGTTTGTCACGTAGTCTTTGCCAGAGGTCAATATTTTTTAAACCAAACTAATGCATTTCACTCAACAGGGCCTTTAAATGACTTTTTGTCAAAATAAAATCTATATGTACGAAATAAACCATCCTAACCTCAAATTTCACTGAAAATAAGTCATTTTTACTTACTGAAAATATTTTTTTACAAAACGTAACAGAAAATATCAAAGTCCTTGACACAGTAGCTATACCAAATTGAATTTAAAGTATATAAATACCTATTTGTATGCTGTTAGGGAGAGATTATATCATGCATACCTTAAAGTACACGTGGTGTTTCCTGTCTCAATGTCATTCCAACTAGAGTCGATGATATTCGCACAATCAAACCAATCTAATTTACCCCTCCCTGTGGCTTTGAACACCACATAAGCTGACTCCGCTCCACTGGTGTAGACACTTAATCTTACCTTGAAAAAAATCAGAAGATATTGTTAAAGCACACTATAAGGTTTATTTACCCCAGAAAGTCATGCATTTTGTTTTATATCATTTTGCACATGAAATATAGAGAAATGTCAATTTGATTCAATATTTCATCCTCACTGTCAGAGACTACGTAAACTGTAAAATATAAAAAGTCTCCTTTCCTAAACCTCATATAAATGGAATCTTGAATCAGATTCTCTATATAGCAGCTTTTACTAATCAGTTTTGTTGGTTCGAGCGAGGCGTGCCTAATTTTGTGTTTTAAGGCTGCCCCATCCATGTGCTACCTAAAGCTAATTGACCGAAAACCGCAAAACATATATAAACAGTAATAAATAATAATAAAAACAGAAACATATGAAAAGCAAACAAAACAATCAGAACACAAAAAATAAACAAATGAAATTAAAAATAAAACGAAAACAAAGAAAGAAAACAAAATATTGGAAATGTGGAACAGTGAAATAAGTCCCTGAAGCGTAAAATGTGTTTAACACCTTTTTAACACTTACATGTGATGCTGTCAGATTGGAACCCCACTGGTCTAGAACTGCCGATTTATAAATTGATCCTGAATGTGAGAAATCTGTCATTGCACCAACAACACCTTCATTATAAGGGCCACTAGCAGTGTACAACGACATGATATCAGCATAACCGGTGGGTGGAGTTGTTGCCCTTGGAGCTTTGAACACCAGTCTCCATGCTGTAAATAAAGTTATAAACATCTTGGTAAATATCCATTATAACGTTAATCTGCCCTATTGCTAATTGTTCTTGAGCCGACATTACCAGTAATATTGGTTAAATGGTGGTTGCTGCACTATGAATAAAGTTTTTAAAATCCTAGTAGATATCTATTATTGCATCAGTCAGCCCTATTGAGGGTTGTAACCGTGTCGTCACTACCAGAAATAAAGGAGCTGTACTATAAATAGATAGATAAATATGTCAATAAACATATACTATAACATTAATCTGCTCTATCGATAATTGTACGTGAACTTACACTACCACTAATTTTAGCAGTTTTTATAAAATTCATACATACGTCCTCTAGCTTCGTTCAATTGGCGACTTTCTATCAACAAGGAAAAAAGAAAAAACATCACATTAGTAACATGGTGAATAAAAGACGAAAGACACGTACACAGCATCGTTTTATACAACTTTTGATGAATCAGAGAGTGTAGAACCCAGGAAACTGCATCATACAGCTGTTTCATCCTTCACATACTCAGTGATAATAAGGGCTTTCAATTTGAAACCTACATGATGTTATTTTGCATTAAAAAATAGATAATAGCATAAACTTCGTACGGCTGATGTACTTTGAAATACAAAAATTAAACAGGAGAAACGTTAAAGTAGAAAAACCTCATTTATATCAAGCAAGCATGCTATAATGTATAAACTTAGAGCTATATATCTTTGTAAGTAAAAGGTGGGGCTAATTTATCGTTGTTGAATTTCGTGTTTTCAATATTCCGCAGTCACACCCACTTTGGGATATTTCATGCTGATTAATATATATCTATATTTGGTATTAGTGTATACAGGCATACAACATCTCTGTATTTTGATTATGTAAAATATTTATTTCCAAATTCGTGCTGTATTTGATAACCATGAATACAGCAAAATTAGAATTTCCCTTGAACATTACCATCTATAGAGCAATCAAGCATATTGGCTATTCGATTCTATTATTAGTAGTTTACACAGATTTGTGCTGAAAAAGTATTCTAGTTAAGAATGGTGTGTTAAAGTACACAACTTGTATTAAGATACTGTGAAATTGACAATTTTTGTGTGGATTTATTTTTGTTACTTTTGTAACCTTAATACAAGAATCCTTTTTTGTCCACGAACTGATATGATTTGTTAAAGGACATCTAGAGAGCTATTTTCATCTACGAAATCAAATGTTCAGAAAACCACGAAAATCGAAAGTCATGAAATTATCTGATTTTACCAAATATGTTAAAATTGTCACGTGTGGGTGGCTGTTACGTCATTAAAAAATTTCAGATAATAATCATGATAATTAACCAAAGACCAGTATTGAGTGTACTCACTCGCACAAAAGTAGGTTATGTATCCACTCTTTGCGACTGAAGGATAGGACGAGCATGGATCTCCCCCAAATGTGGCGTCGTTGAATATGACGTTACAACTGGACGTTGTGCTATGACAGGCAGTGCGAATAGCACTCACGGGATCAGCAGTAGAACAGGGCGTACCAGCATGGCCATAGAACGCATCGTAGACATGGATGTAGAAATGTGAGTGAGAGGGGCACACCATTGTGTAATTGTCACCCTCCGCTATATCACCAGTAGAATATTCTGAAAGTATGAATATGTAACCGTAATACTCTGCTCCATCCAGCTGACGATATTGCCGTCATTGTTATCAAACTATACGATCACATCCATTTAAATCGTATAAACGATTAAACTTTATATATCCATATATCATCATTATGCCAGTTTCAGGGTTTATGACGGAACATTTACATGGCGGGTGTCGTCGATGAAGCAAAAAATGCTTGCCATTCCGGAACATTTTACTTTCCTTTTATGTTATGTATTTGTTGTTTGCAATAAAGAGAATAGTATTCAATAATGTATTCCAAGCACTGCATATGAAAACGGTCTCTGATATAGTGCGTGTCACCATGTTTTCAATACGAATATATCCTGGAACAAGAAATAACTGTCCTAGGTAAACTTACTTCAAAAACTTGATACGTTTTACAACAACATTTGAACAGAAAATCAATTCATTCTCAGTTTGGATGAAACTAGGGCAAAATATGAACAAAAGAAATATTTACAAGGAAACCCCCCAAATAGTACACGGGGGTTAGGTTATGTGTTTATGAAATGTAAGTGCTTCTGTTTATTATTGTTGTTACTTTAGCGTCGAAATTTTGTCGTGTAGTTGTGATACGTACGTGAACAGATGTCTAAGTTGTCAGGAATACAAAACTGTGTCTGATTACTGTATCCGATACAGTAAACACCATCCCCAGCAGTGGTAGGAGTGTCACAATTTCGCTCTCGTGTCTGGGTACCCTGAGCGTAGCACGTAGTACTACAATCCGTCCAGGCCGTCCAACTAGACCATCCTCCATCCACTAGAAATAAAAATAAATAATCTTCGTATAAGTAATATTCAGCACCTGCAGGTTTATACATTACTTCTTGAACAATACATCATTGATCAGAATGATTGTTTTGGTCGTACAGTTTTATGTAAACAGTACTAGTACTGTAAAACTAGAGAATTGATAAAAAAAAGCTCCAACGACGACAACAAAACTTGTCACAGGTTATGCTTACAGTTCTGACATTGTCCTCCATAGTAGTCTCCGACACATTCACAGTGGAATCGTGCTCCCCAATCATAGCAAGTGGCACCATTCAGGCATGTAACCAGGTTACACATATTGTCTCGGGCTGAATCAATCAATCAATCACTCAATAAATCAATCAATCACTCAATAAATCAATCAATCAATTAATCAATCAATCACTCAATAAATCAATCAATCAATAAATCAATCAATCACTCAATAAATCAATCAATCAATAAATCAATCAATCACTCAATAAATCAATCAATCAATTAATCAATCAATCACTCAATAAATCAATCAATCAATTAATCAATCAATCAAATAAATCAATCAATCAATTAATCAATCAATCACTCAATAAATCAATCAATCAATTAATCAATCAATCACTCAATAAATCAATCAATCAATTAATCAATCAATCACTCAATAAATCAATCAATTAATTAATCCAATCAATCACTCAATAAATCAATCAATCAATTAATCAATCAATCACTCAATAAATCAATCAATCAATAAATTAATCAATAACTCAATAAATCAATCAATCAATTAATCAATCACTCAATAAATCAATCAATCAATTAATCAATCAATCACTCAATAAATCAATCAATCAATTAATCAATCAATCACTCAATAAATCAATCAATTAATTAATCCAATCAATCAATAAATCTAACAGTATAAATAAAATCGTTCAGTGATCTTTAGTAACAAAGGAACAACGACCAACAAATCAAGTTGTTTCACAATTTGTGAAATGATACAGAGAGACAGAATGGCAGTAATAGTAAAAATATATTTAGTTTATCATTTTGATGTCAAGTGTTCTTATTTTTTCTTGCATGCATAACGTCAATTTTAATAAAGTTTATATCTCAGTTCGACTTACCAATTGAAATCGCAAATGCATCAGGGACGATCATGTCTGTTTTAAGGAATCAGAGTAAAGAAGTAAAAAATCAGTTGTTATTGCTATTATGTTGATTTTGTTTGTTTTGGATAAATGTATATCTTGTATTGAAAAAGGCATATATCCTACTATAACAGAATAATACATTCTTATATGAACTGATGTCAAAGCGCATATGAATTAACATATGTTTTAATGCCGTAGCTTTACAACAAGTGATGATTTGCATTGAAAGGTTCAACACATTTGAAAAAGATAATGAAAACAAGTCAGGATTATATAAAACTGTATTTAGAAAAAAAAATCTGCAATTGTATTAAGATAATTACTTATAATATGTAAATGATAAACAACAGGTTACTATTTGATTGTAAAGGCCCTTTCGATATTACCATCATTTGCTTCCGAAAATCCGGCATCACTACATAAAGGAAAAGGTCTGGTTCCTTTTGAATCGTAGGAACAAGTACTCCCTTCTATTATTCCGAACCATCCAAAGTTTTCAGCACAGCCCGAGCCGTACGTCTCTTCTATGAAGAAGTATCGATTGCTGTTTCTGTAAAAATTATTTTCAAAATGATTGAAAGACATTAAAAGCTTGTAATAGTCTCAACACAGCATATTTACATACAATAACACAGAACAGCTTGTAATAGTCTCAACACAAGAAATTTACAGACGGATAAGGCAGCAGAGCTTGTAATAGTCTCAACACAGGATATTTACAGACTGATGAGGCAGCAGAGCTTGTAATAGTCTCAACACAGGATATTTACATACGGATAAGGCAGCAGAGCTTTTAATAGTCTCAATACATGATATTTACAGACTGATAAGGCAGCAGACCTTGTAATATTTTCAACACATGGTAGTTACTGACACCAATACATAATGATGGCAACAGAATTGGCAATAGCACAGGATAGGTACAAAAAGATAAGGCAGCAAAACTGGACATAGCAACAACATTACATTTACAGAAAGGCAGCAGGGTAGATGATAATATATGTCAGGGTAGATGATGAATATTCATGGTGCTCTATCCATCTGGTAACAGTTGATTGTTTAAATGTAATACTTACCCGCCTATAGAGCAGTAGTTGACTGAAGTATCTCTAGTCAGGTCGGAGTATGATGTATATAGAATTCTGTCACAATTAAACCACGAGGATTTTGTAGAACTATGAGCATCAAACACTACATAGGCTATCTCCTGGCTGCCTTGGAAGAACGAAACTCGAGCCTGGAGGAAAAAAATCAGTCAAGTCCGTATTAGTATAGAATCGATAAAACCACATTGTTTTTTTCTCCTTGTGCTTTTTCAAGAGGTTCTGTGTAAATCGTACTTTTTGTTAAAAGTTTGCCTTAGTTTAATTGAGTTTGAGTTTTGACAGTGATTTTTGTTTGTATTTTCTTGTTGTTTTTGTCGTCTGTGTTGTCCTCTCATAAATAAAAATAACACTTGTTTGTTACTACCGATGAAGGGAAGGTGCGAACGTTTCAAGTACTGTAGTACTAAACAAAGTATTGATAGTATTGTACTGAAGTACTTCACCAATCGAATTCCTTAAATTTATGCAACAAGCTCTCTGATTGGCAGAGCCATGTCTAGATCGATTGTGGGTGGAGCCAGGTGAAAAAATACTGTGCAGACATCGGCATTTTACAAACACTCGACTGTCGCGAGAGGTTAATTGGAAGAGTCCAAGTCACAGGTGGCTTCAGATCAGACCTAATTGGGTTGTCCCATTTGTTTCGTTCTACACCCAATGATACCTTGCTTTTCCATCGATGGTACAACGAGAAAACGAAAGTTACTCAGTACTAAACTAATTTACGTACAAAATATATATCAACAGGTTAGATCACTGGGACCGGAGAATTCATAACATCTTAACAGTGAATATAGTCATATAGTCATTCTGTACTAGTTTTATTTATTTATTTATCTTTATGTAGCGAAGATCCATTTGAAGTAACTGTTGTCCCTTCTGTCCAATATATTTGTGTGGAAAATGTGCTTTAAGCAAAGGACGAACAGCAGATATGAAATTGGTTGTATTATGTTGCACGAATGTTTTGATGCTCGCCATTTCGTCATCTATGGACTTAAGTCGTTTTTGAATACCGCAGATTTCTTTATTAACCTGAAAAAAATCAATAAAATGAAATATAACAGCACGCGTTCAAGTATAAGAGAAATTGTAAACGAAAACAGTCATTATTGTATTCTTATTTTTATAATATAATTCGGTGATTTTGCTATGATGATCAGCTTAACATCCATGGATACCGAAACCTTTAACGAATTAAAGAAAATAACATTTTCGGTAAGAAATCACATGCCACTAAAAAAAACATTGCAAATATATCAACAATAAAAGTTCTTGAAATAAAACCCTGACCTTATTACATTATGTTGTCAGTACTGTCCATTGCTCATGCAATTAGATACGGAGACAGATTAATACAAGTACATTGTAGTTGTCTCTGAATCCGAAATGCATATTTGCTTTTGTACTGTACTCATTTCACAAAATAAAATACAGTTTAAACTAAACCCTGACCACACGAGCACAAAACTAATGCATAATAAGATTTCATATAAATGTTAACTTACCTCAACGATGGAATGTTTGTGTTCCGCATGTTTCTGCTCTAATCCACAGTGATTGTAACCCATGCATGGATCAAACGGGCATTTTTTCTGTCCCTTGTTTTGCATTGACCGATGCCCTTTATAGTGACAATTATCACATTTAAATTTAGTCAATGGATTCCCTGGGATGGCCAAAGGTTCTCTGTCGAGTGGCTTTTTCTTCATGTCTTTCAACTCGTCGTTTTTGTGAGAAAGCAAAATCACAAGTGTTTCCTTTTCGTCTCTCAGACGACCCAGTTCTTTTTAAAGGTAACTGTCATTCTGCGTAGATCGACAAATCCCCGAGTCGGATTTTGCTGCATCCGTAACGTCAATACCGGGACTACTAACAGTGTTTTCAAACTTCAGCCGTTTAGATGGATGTGATGCGGCCGTGCCGGCATCTGCCGTCATTTTCTTTTTAAATGCACTTTTAGTTTCTGGCGTTTGCATGTTAATGATCTTATCTATCACCATTCGTTTGTACACCTGTGGCATTTCCATGGAATTTACCTCACTTGGTAATAAATATCGCAAGGTATTAAGATTGCTGACATCACATTTCTTGAATTCTGACGCATATTTCGCCAACCCTGGGTCAATCTGACGTAGAAAATTTTGCGTACTGTTGCCGTCGTCGGACATTTTCCCAGCAATTACTTAGTAATTGTTATGTAACTGATGGTGTACATTAACTCCGCCTACCGGAACAAATTGGGTGTCAGATCAACTATTCAGGTTGTCTAAACTCCGCCCCCGACCAATCACAGAGGTCGTTGTATACTTGACTCGATTATTTGAATACTTCAATACAATAGTATCAATACTTTGTTCAATACTATAGTAAGTGTGTCGTTCACACCTTCCCTTCATCGGTAGTAAAAGAATTACAAATTTACAACAAACAAAAAAGGTTAGTCCTCGCATTTTTTGATAGGCGCGTGCCATTTATAGATACAACCTATTATATCTAGCAATAAAAACGACAATGATATACAGATATATCTAAAACAGGCTATAAGTTAGGTTACTGGTAAAGAAGTAAATGCTAATGTTTCTTTTGGTATCGTAACATATTGATGCCGTTGGACCTTTAAACAAATTTAGGCATAGTCTACATGATTAATGTAATAAGAAGCATTATCCTTGTTTCCATTAATTCGTATTACACACACTTATACTATTTCCTAGACAGTAACCATAACAATCGTCAATGGTGATCAGAAGGGAAAAATATCCAAAAAAATGAAATAGATTTTTTTAAAAAATCTAAATTAGTTATTCAAGATAAAATTGTTAATTTATACAGAATTACAACGAAATCCAATATACCTAGATTTTATACATCATTTTCAACTGATTAATGTTTTGCTGTTTCTATATAAAAAAATGTTTGACTCAATTTGGAACCAAAAGTTCAACACGATTCCCAATCGAGTAAAAATGTACACTACTACAAAAAAAAGGCTAATAAAAGTATACATCTGTTATATACCTCAATAAAAAAAACTCATTCATTCAGTTTGCAATTTAGGTTTTCTTTCATACCAGCATGAAACTAAAATAATATCCCTATCACAGCTTAAATGAAACACAGAATATATACAGTATATAGTATAACTTACTGCCGATATATAGTAAGACTGCCAGCTATCAACAATACTCGACTTGTAAGAAGGTGTTCCTGTAGACATGGAGTAGGCTTCATTTACATATTCGTTAAGGGTGTAGGTTCCGGACCATAGATTATAGATCCCACTGGCAGGGCTCACGCTTTCACCGTAAGCAACTTTCATAACTGGGAACCACCCTGCAATTAAGAAAAACACTGTAAACAAATACCATCATTTTATTACATAGTTATAATTTTGATTTGTTAGGTTATCCTCGGCACACCAGCTAAAACAAAGCAAAACAAAAATACCGAAATATTAACAGAATCTTAATTAAAACTTTCATTCGATGAAACTAATGCAAAAATATGATCAGAAAAGATTTGCAGATTCCTGAAAATGTACAGGGAAATAAGACCAGGTGTGCAAGAAGGGTAAGTGTCTTCTGCTGCATTGATGATACCCGTCATAAAATGCTTATACAATCCAAGCAATTAAAGTCACGCTCCCAAAATAGAACAAGTTGGGTGCACAACAACGGAACCAACGGGCAAACTAACAAATATTTAACACATTCAGCTTACCACCACACAAAGTAATAAAATATTTGATAATGAGACCATTATGAAGATTGTGAAAAAATCCCCGTAATCTTCAACGACCTGTGTCTCTTGAAACCATATGTTGCGAGTCGAAAGCGTATAAAGATGATTCTACATGAATGTTTGGAATCCAGAAGGAAATGAATAACAAAATTTAGAAAACACTAAAACGAAAGTTTACAAATGAACAGACAGAAATGTTCTTGATATAGCGTATACCTTTCAAAATACAGGAAAATATTGTCTGAGGAACAAGTCTGGCACCGTGATCAATCGAATGAATATATCAACACATATATAGACCGTCATTACATCCATTCAAAATCGATGATTTAAAACTAAATGTAGTCAATTTTATCTAAGATGTTTTATTTTGATCTGGTGAATATTTTGATTTGCCATCTATATTTGATATATCAATAAGTATAATTTTGTCCTAAAATTGGATTAATTAATAGTACTTTAAAATGTCCACGTGTTTTGCTTTCCACCCTTTGAAAGTTGTTTACTGATGACAATATACACCTCCTGAATACAATGTGTATGATCCGAAACTTAAAAAACTTCCATAAATCATAGTTTAAGGAATAAAGCGTTCTTCAAAAGCCCAGTAAAAGGGCACCTATCCCTATCAAACACTACATGCATACCCCAAATCTGAAAATCTCCTTATAGCTTGTTTTCTACATGTCATTCTTAATTTTACTACATAAAATGTCTGTAAAGGGGGTCAAGCTTCTTGGTAGGATTCTGTCATGAGTCAAGTCACTCCTCTGTTACCTTTCAGAGTCCAGAGTCTTCCCAGTGGTTACCTTGGAATCAAGTTTGTCCTTTGTATTATGCTAGCTGCTCTGTGAGTCAGTGTCAGAGTCAAGTCACTTCTTTAGAACCTTCGCAATCTCTTAGAGTCAAGTACTTCTTTTTACTTTTACAGAGTCTAGCCCTATCAATCCTGGCTTCTCTGGCATCAATGAACCTAGTTGCTTCTCTGTCCCTCAGAGTCAAGTGATTTCTCCTGTTCCGGAGTCAAGCACAGTTCACTTCGCTTCTCTGATGTCGCAGAGTCAAGCTTGTCATAATTAAATGTTCAATAGTTTGCTAATAAGTGAGAAGCCCCTGTTACGTCAAAGAGATTGTTTTTATTTGCTACAGAAGACTTCTCGATCATTATCAATAAACAGCTTAACTTGTAGTCAAGACTTGGTGTTTTTTTTTGTACAAATGCATAATTATAATGAAAATGTTTGAAAACTTGTCAGCATGTCAGCCAATAAAACATTGTTAACGACAAATGAAGTTGATACCAGATGAATAAATCCATTCTGATAAAGCTTCTTTATTCAGTATTTCTTTTGTTCATAGAAATTTTGAATTTTATTGGTATTTTCAGTCTTTGTACATTTTAAGCGTCAGAAATCCGTTGAGATTTCCTTAAATATTCTACATTTAAATCGCTAAGTCAACAAAATCAGACTACCGTATATTACCTGTGATAAAGATTCCTAGAGTTTCAGCATATGGAAAGTTGACACTGTCCCAGGAGGAACCTAAAAAACCAGAACAAGATTAAGTAACAGGTTTTATAGTATTATCTGTTATAGGAAAGCAATGGTGTTAGGATAATTTGTTTGACCTCTCTTTCAAAACACTATTTCTCTGTTATATAACAATTTTTTAAAGAAAATTACTTGACCATTTTATATGCAACCCGTCACCCAATCCTTCAACATATTGAAAATTATTTGTTACTAGAAGTCTGATTTTTTTCGTGGCTTTCAAAATATGAGGTTTAAAAAAAAAAAACTTGGCACTTAATTCTGTAGGAGGTTAGTCTTGACAACATCTTGTAATACTGAAACCATGTCAAGGCATTCAACGTTTAACATTTGAAAATTGAATCAAACTATCGTTAATATCTACGATAGAAAGGAAAATTAATCGGAGCCGATCATTTCTGATTTTACAATATTTTTTCTTCATTATAAATTATGTTCATACTGGATTCAGGCTGGGTTGCAGCTCCAGTGTTGCTGTAAAGGAAGTAAGGACGTGTTCGGACATTGTTATCGAACGTGCAAGTAGTGCTTCCTGAGGCATCATCCAAAACCAACATCCACGCTGACAGAGCAGAACAAGTCCCCGACTGTTCTATTACGGCAAATGCTCTTGTCCCATCACTGCAACATAGAATTGTAACTCTTCAATGTAGAAAATAACAATTTAAAGAATTGCACTTGAGACACGGGGGGGGGGGGGGGTAATTTGATTCAAATAGTGGTAACAGAAACGGTTTTACTCACCCTGATATGCTTGCTGACGTGGCATTCACTGTGCCTCCAAACTCCAGTGAAAACAATATGTTATCGGGAGAAAACCATGTATTTTTGTCAGAATTGGTTCCATCAAATACGATATGTGCTTCTTCTATACCACTTTTGAAGAAAGAGTACTTTACCTGAAACAATAATAAATAATAATGATGCATGATTTTGCTGCGTTATATCATATTTTCAACAAACAAAATAGACAGAATGAAAAAGAATAATTAAAAACTTGCACAACTATTACAATAGGCCATATGAATCAAGATAACAAACAGGTCAGTTTGCCAAACCAAACACATCAGAGAAAACAACATGACATAAATTATGGCGATAATAAGAGCTTTATGAAGAACTTGTAAACAAATTTAAGCAAACCTGGTCAATGATTGTCCAGTTGCTTGACCAGTCCTCCACCACGGCGGATTTGTAAGAAACTGCTGGAACATTAGTGATTGTCTTGACGGTCTCATCACCGTTGTATTCTGTAGTACTACCCTCCCAAAGGGTTTCCAGGTTACCAGCTGTGGGCGTGATGCCATCCACTCCCTTGAATACCATATGCCAGTCTGGATACAATGGAAAGATCAGAATAAATTATTAGCTTTGGCTATATGTATAGAGGTATTGACACTAAAGATATTCTTTCTGTATTACGTTTCATAAGCATGCTCCGTTTCATCCCCCAAAATTCTCCGTTTACAACATATTACATTACATATGGATATCATTATCCACAAAACAGAAGTTACTATATAGAAAAACAGCTGTGCATTGTTTGTTAACATCGAAAACATCCCTTGAAATGAGAATGAGTGTACAATTGTCAAGAATTAAATTTTCATTTCATACAAAAATGTGGTGTAATCAATCAATGTCTGTATGCCTGACGGAAGATACTTACCTTGAACAAATATTGCCAGAGAGTCCGCATATCCAACATTTCCTAAAGATTCAATATTTATTTGTTAAGTTTGGATATGAAATGGCATGGCGCCTTGAATCATTTTAATAAATGCACATATATGTCAAATTATGTTTATTTCAGGTGAATATATTTTTCTGTATATTTCCATACATACAAGATATACATTATCATTTGTAATTAACTTTCAGCAGCTTGGTCAAGACATTTGTTCTATACATTCGTTCGTGGAAAAATCACTTTCAAACACACAATAACTTATCATCAGTCTCACAATAGGAATAGAATAGATACACTGGTATCGTAACACATTGTGATCGAGATAATCTCATTTTTGTGTTTCAAATAAAGCAAAGGATTTATGGTTGTAAACATCAAATTAACTTCAAATGAGAATTGAAAAAAATGGCAATACTTTATGAATTCATTAGTAACACTAAGTACTCTAACTCTGGAGCTTTTGTATGTACATCAATCATATATTCCTAAGTTACAATAATAATATCACTTCGCATTATGATACCAATATATATACGGTTGACATGTCAGAGGTCAAAGGTGTAAGGTGAAACACTAACTTAAATTTTGATTGACTACATTCAAACTATCATGAGTGGACCCATTGATGGATTGAAAGTTAAGTAATAACCTGATTGATTATATATTTATTAGTTTTAACTTTAGCCAAAGAAACAGAACAATTTTTTTAAAAAATCTAATTTGATAATGTAAATGATCTTTTAAAAGTAAGTTTACTCTTTGAAAACTAACCTGAATTCCATGTTGTGTATGTGCTTGCTGTTGAATATACAACATACGGCATTGTCCTAGATCCATCGTACGGAGCCCAAGCAGGACAGCCAGACGACGATCCGTAGTCTTTGATAAAAACCCATCCATACGCGTTATCACACCCACCATCGTCTGCACTTATGTAGAAATTATGCTTAAATGTTGTAGATGAAGTATATCTGGAAGTTGATAATTACAATGTATATAAATTAGAGGAAATGTTTCATGATATATTCCCAACAGACACATCAGAGAATTTCTTTTCATTCTTAACTTTGAAAATATCAGCAATTTGGTAATAATAATACAAATTCCTGCTATCAAAACCATAGCTTTTATATTACAAATGACATTAATCACATTACATTGAAATTGCTGACAGTGGTTAGGAATTATTTGGTTTTAAACATAAATTTGAAGTTTGAAGACAACATGTTTTTATGTTGTGTATCTTGTAAATACACATTGTGTTGATGGTAAGTGATACTCTGTATATTTTCAAAATTTGAAAGTTTTCTTAAGCTGAGGATGGTGACTGGTATTCTGTATATGTATTATACGTTTGACATGTAGACTGCAAGAACTTTTTTTTTCAAGAGAATTTTTTCAAATTGTTTCATTGCATTATACAATAAGATCAAAATATTAGTAATTCAATTATTCTTTGTGTGAAAAGGAGATACAGATGAAAACAAGAGTACCGCAGGGCGGAACAATATACGCCCGTCCAAAACTATTTTGGTAGTAAACCTTCATGTGAATTTTCAAATCGTTCTGTAAAAAATATTCAAGTTATCGAACGGAAACCTATGTGAGGCCGCCCGCCCGCCTGCGGGAAAATATAACACGCCCTGTCTTCCGACGGGCGTATAAAAATTTTTTAAAAATTTCATGGATGCACTTTCATCATCATTAACACAGTTTGTTTACCTGTAGGCAGCATCATTGAATTAAAGATAAACTCACTTAATAAGACAATAGTTCTTTGACACCGTCGTTATATCTGTGTAACTTGAATACAGGATGTTGCTGCAGTCCATCCAGGTGCCTTTAGATGTACCGCGACCATCAAATACGATGTATGCAACCTCCTCTCCGTTCTTGTAAATCGAGTATCGTACCTATGATATGGAAATTAAAGTGATAGTAACAAAGGTAATATAAAAACCTACTCATGAATTTTTAACAGTATATCGTCACTTTTTACAACAAAATCATGCAGATTGCCTTATAAATAATGCTATGATGCGACAATCTCAGCACAATGGTATTGAATAATTCTAGACTGAAAACGAAAAAAAAGTTTAAATAACAATAACAAAAATAACATCCAATTTTCTCAAAAGTGAAGGTTATGTCATCACTTTATATCAATAAGGTTTTTTTCGACAAAATAATGTAGAGTGTCTGCGATAAATATTTTAATTATAACAAGGCATCCTTAGCTCATTGGTTTAGAATAATTCTATATTAATAGAGGGTACATGACTACATACAGCTGAGAATAATTCTATATTGATAGAGGGTTTATGACTATGTACAGCTGAGAATAATTCTATATTGATAGAGGGTATATGACTACATACAGCTGAGAATAATTCTATATTGATAGAGGGTATATGACTACATACAGGTGAGAATAATTCTATATTGATAGAGGGTATATGACTTCATACAGCTGAGAATAATTCTATATTGATAGAGGGTATATGACTATGTACAGCTGAGAATAATTCTATATTGATAGAGGGTATATGACTACATACAGCTGAGAATAATTCTATATTGATAGAGGGTATATGACTACATACAGGTGAGAATAATTCTATATTGATAGAGGGTATATGACTTCATACAGCTGAGAATAATTCTATATTGATAGAGGGTATATGACTATGTACAGCTGAGAATAATTCTATATTGATAGAGGGTATATGACTACATACAGGTGAGAATAATTCTATATTGATAGAGGGTATATGACTATGTACAGCTGAGAATAATTCTATATTGATAGAGGGTACATGACTACATACAGCTGAGAATGTTTTGTTGACTCCCCATTCATTCAACAGGGCAGATTTGTACATTTGGCCTCCGGATGAGAAATCTGTCATCACACTCTCTGTACCATCATTTACTGTATCGGACGACAGGTAAAACGAGGCTACATCAGCATATGATGAAGGTGGAGCTGTGCCAGAGGGAGCCTTGAATACAAGCCGCCAAGCTGAAGACAAGCCAATAGACTATTAGAATATGTCACACAAGCACAGTCATTAATTGTTATATACAAGCGATATGGTTTAAAAAATGAACTGTTCTGATGTTCTGTTATCATTACACTTTACTTAATAGTGTTTTTTATATTCTTATTACAGAAAGGATGACCACTTACGACCCTGGAATGTAGATAACTGCAGAGATTCTGAAAGTAAGAGAGATTAAGATAGGATAAAATGATAAATAAACATATATTCGAAACAGGAAATGGTGATTAATTCAGAGAAATTTCCAACAGAAGGGATCATAACCGAATACTCGGTAATTTCAAAGTCGATGGTCCTGTCAACTTCGAGATAATAAGGTTGGATTAAACTAAATGATCTACTCACCAACACAGGTCATTGTAGCATATCCGTATTTCGTGACTGAGTGTGATGAACAAGGATTTCCACCAAAAGTCGCGTCATTGAAGGTAATAGTACAATTAGTGTTCCTTCCCTGACACACAACCCTGACGTCAGACAGAGGATCTGTATCGTAGCAGGTACTACTGTATCCATAAAAGGCACTAGATACAAATATGTGCAGTCCCGACGGACACACCATGGTGTAGGACGAGTCAACTTGGATGTTTCCAGTATTGTACACTGCAATGAAGAGAAGGTCGACACATTATTGTTGTCAATGTTAACTAAACGTTTTCAACGTTTTTCATCATCTGTATTCTTCAATGAAACAACCAACGTTTGCACAGAAAAAGTTTATCCTGTCAACTGTGTATGCCATAAAAGCCCTGTGTGTATTTTTGCCTTGGTTTTGTTTGTTTTATTCGATAATTTTATAAATGAATGGTATCATCAATATAGAATAACGTGCTTGTTGTTTCCTATGCTTGTAAGTTATTTGTACTGACTGTGCTTTTGAACTTTATAGAAATCACCGGTATATTTTGCACTTTGTTCTTGCTTGTGGTTTAATGCTTTGTTCTACAAGGGTAACCCAAATTTTTAACCAAGTAAACAGCACCTTTCAATACAAATTTAGATACAGTAAAACCGTATAATGAAGTAAACTGCAACACTCATGTGTTTTGTCCTCTGAGGACACGTCAGTGATGCTTAGGAACTAAATTTTAAAAGTGAAGAGTAATTGAGGAACCTAAAAGCTGATCAAACGAAATGTCAACATTGTAGAACCAATAATTCAGTGGATTTCGAAATGTCACATATGATGGCTTCGAAAGAAAATATAGCATGTTATTTCAAACATAAGCGCGTAACGAGCTCACTGTGGAAAACGATAAAACGATGTAAAAGTTGAATGAACTAAGTAAAACATGCAACAAGACCCACCTGAGCACACGTCAAGATCTGGAATGCATCCCTGTGTTTCTGACGTATCTCCCGTACAGCTTTGACCGTTAGGGCCGGCTGGTGTCGGATTGGTACATGTTCTCGTCCTACTATGTGTTCCCCATGCGTAGCACGTCGTACTACAAGTACCCCAGTCCGTCCAGGCCGTGAAGTTTCCGTCAACTAAAAATAATATATCAAATAAATAATACTTCAATCTGTTTAGTCTTCAATTTTGACAGAATAAGTGATTTGTTTCAGATGACGACTAAGATAAGTTCAAATATAATAAATTAATCAAGGCATGTCAAGACATTGAACTAGTGACACAATAAAAACACTACTTGGGAAACACTATAACACATATCACTAAACTGTGGATAAAAAAAATTGAGATTTTTTTTTATAGAACCAAAATTTTTATAGTAGGTTAGGTGTGCAAGAGTAAAAATTCTGATAATTTCAGTTACTGTTATTATTTGATCATTGGGGGAAATGCACTACAGGTCAAATTATCCAATGGCAAGGCACTGCACTTTGTCACTTTGACCTTTAACTTTGGGGTCATGATCACAATGATCCAATGAGAAAACACTGCACTTTGTCACTGAGAGATAAAGGCATACAACGACTTTCATTAAGATATCAAAATTATGATCTGGACAAAAAGTTAGTGGGAAAATTGCACTTATTTGAGCTTTGACTGTCAAGATATCTTAACTTAAAGCATAGCATGTCATACTACAGATACCCCCGTCCGTCCATACCGTGAAGTATCCGTCCACTAGTGAATCGAGCTATATTCATCGTAAATATTTAAAATTTAACGGAGACGATTTTGTATAACTTTCATCAATTTATTATATATGCATGTAGTACTTAGAAGACTTAAGAATGAAACCGATACACTTTAAAATTTAAAGAAATTTTGGAATAAATCCAGGTTGAGTCAAAAACCAGTTGAAAATTGATTCATTTTTTAAAACAGATTTCGAAGATAAATTAGAATAGGGGTTGTATGATAAAAACCAAAACTTACGATCTGCACAGTCCAATCCGTAGTAATCGCCATCACAGACACATTCATATTTAACACCCCTGTGGTAACAAGTGCCGCCATTTTGGCATGGACTGAAGTCACAAAAGTCGTCCATTGCTACATAGAAAAAATACATAAAACGTGAAGGCAATTTTTCATATAATGATATGATGCAACTATTTTTTGTTAACGCTTAATGTACTTGTATCCGATACGCTCCATTATTTTGATTTATATAAGCATGAAGAAAATACTAACCACAGAACATATTCATTATCCAAATTCCAATAAAACTAACGCAAAATACGAACAAAAGAACCAATTGTGGAGGAGAAGAATAAGACCATAAGAGTAAACATCTTCTGCTTTAGCCATGTAAATCTTTGTCAATCCAGGTAAGTAATGTTACGTTTTCAAATAAAGTATACAACGACGGAACCAACAGACAAACTAACGAGTATCAAACATGAACAGCTTCATATCGCACACAGAAATAGAATATTTCTCAATGAAATCAGTATGACAACTGCAAAACATCGCCATGATTTTTCATCAACATGCATATTTTCATATCCCGTGTTATGAGTTTGTCAGTCGACGATATCTTGCACAAAAATCGTGATAATGGGAATAGGACCTTGAATATTGACTTAACTGTGACATCATAGGTTGGGGAATCAGGAAAGTAGCTATCCTGAAGTGGCAAAATTCATAACAAGGAAATTGAAATTATCATGCTTATCAACTATCTGCTGTTTATGGTTAACATGATAGTACCCTCCCAAAACCTATTTGTTGTTAACAGTAAATGTGCCAGTATGTTTTTACTTCAATGTACACTGTCTGATGTTCTAGATGTCTAGAGATTTTTAGAAAAAGAGTAAAAGTTTTGGTGGATCAAATATCAAGATATTGTTTATTTCAATTAATTAAATTCAACAACTTACCAATGGATATTACAAACACGTCAGCAACAGCCATATCTGAAAAATAAGAAACTTCATTTAATTTAAGTAATTGTAAAAACAAACAAATTATATAAGAGACGAGTGTAGCCATTCTACCAACTATTAGTAGAATTCTAACTCTATTGTATTAAGCATTAATGAATAGTTTTACAAGCCTATTTCTATTACATAATTTATCTTTTCTGCACAACTTTGCCCATTCAACATAACGTCCCTTTCTTTTTTTAACGTACTGATATTGTATTCATATCTGTTGGGCGATGCGTCACTGTACATGGCGAAGGGTGAAGTAGCTTTATTATCATAATTGCAGGAAGAGCCTTCAAACACTCCAATCCAGCCCCCAGCCGTATCACAGCTGCTGTAGGTGTACTCAATGAAGAATCTTCTATTTTGTGAAGAGTCTCTGAATGGAAAACAGCATTTGTGGGTAATAAGGGTGAACTGAATGAAGAAAATACTTCACCATTTTAAGTCTAATAACATCGTGAAACGAAGTAAAAGAAAGATGACAAGTAAATAACAAAAGTCAAATTATCATCCATTTTTTTTTACGATATGACCTATGCTCACAGGTATTTCAAAAACAAATTCTTTAGAGTGACAAGCATGTTTCTGCCAGCAAGTGAGGAGTTTGAACCTTTTTAAAGCGACTGGCTTGTTAGGAAACTTTTCAATCAGCCCTTATATATAACATATCACGTTACCAAAATTCACAGTCAAATTACATATTACTGTTTTACGACCAATATGAGACCCTTGTGCACAGAATATTTCCTGTAAAATGTACAATAGCTGTCACTACTACCCAAATATTTCTTCATATAGTTATTTTTCCTGTCAGTTTGTTTCATATTCTCAATGTCAATTTATGTTTTCGTTCTCCTTTTAACTAGTTGTGATAATATCTTTTAAATGCATGCGATTTTAAGATATCTCAAAACAGCTGCAAGATAATGAAGTAAAGATTAAACTAAGATTTTAAGATATCTCAAAATAACGAAGTAAAGAATAAAACTGATTTACAGTGAAATGTTTCATACCCTGCAATGCTACAGTAATGAGGGGGCGAGGTTCTCCTGTTCAAGTCCACATAGTTTGTGTATAAAATTCTGTCACAGTCAAACCAAGAGGATTTGTCTGATCCATGGGCATCAAATACAATATAGGCCTGTTCCACCCCGCTCGTGTACATAGAAACGCGCACCTGTTAAATACAATGCAAATTGTTATTGGTAAAACACAATCTCAATTCCAACACAGTATCATATGAGCAAAACGAAAATGGCAGAGCAAAAAAGCTGAATTTTATTTGTTTTCCTATCAAATGCTGTTTAGTGCAACAGGAAGGAGATTATGTTTCCAGAAAGGAACGAACATGTGACTAGCAACTTTACAGCTCTACGCTGCCAGAAATAATTGTAAATGTGCATTTAAATGCCATTTTGACTGAGGCAAAAACGAATGCCGTTTTTTTTGTAAGATGTAACCTTTCCGAAAAAGCCGCTGTGTTTTACTATGTGTCCTTACTGTCTATTTCACTGATGTTGTTTTATTGATACAAGTAACAGTCTTACCGCCTTGATGTAATAACTTGTCCAACTGTCTACAATACTGGATTTATATGTAGCAGTAGAGGCAGCAAACGAATGAGCAGAAGTTGTAAATTCATTCAATGTATACGTCCCAGTCCAAAGGTTGTAGACACTGGAAGCTGGGGATATTGTTTGACCTCTGGCCCACTTCATCACTGGGTAAAACCCTGTATTATGAAAACAATTAAACGATTGAAAATAAACCTTATATAAGGCGGCGTCAAAAATTAACATTTATTTTCTAATGTGTCAAATACAGATTTGTATATCATTGTATATTATATATAATGATATGACGTCACGATAATTAAATCTTATATGGACATGTTCATTATCTAATTTCACTCGTTAACTCTTCAAATCATTATCGCTGATCTGGTAAAGATGAATACATTTTTTTTAACTTTCCAAAACTGTCAAGTTTATATTAGGCATGATGTGTGTAATCTATAAAATGAAATAAACGTGTTTAAAAAAAATCACAGACCTTTTACAAAAATGCCCATAGTGTGTGCAGATGGAAATCCAGCCGAGTCCCAATTACCACCTGAGAAGGTAAGAATATACAAACACGTGTATAGTTATGTAAAAATCGAGTTACCATTTTCTCCATACATTCTTAACAAACTACATACGATACTATCACAATTTAAAATTTTCAAATAGAAATTCAGTAAGACTTATCCAACCTTTCCGTTTTCTATTTCAGTCCACACTACCATACTTTCCTGTATAATATCTCTGTGACTGAATTTTCCAAAAATTAACATCTCTCATTCCTAACACACTTGTGTACACTATTGAAGGAATTTTTTTTCCTCAGACAACGGATAAACACCCCGATATTAACTGTCTTCTGGGGCAGTTATATATATATGAATGAATTTAATTAATTCTATTTTATATAATGAATGTTATTTGATATAATGAATACTTTTTTTTAGATATAATGAATTCTATTTTATATAATTAATTCTAGTTTACATAATGAATTCTATTTTATATAAAGTATTCTATTTTATATAATGAATGCTAGTCTTCGAGTTTTTCCTGTGATGTTGACCGATTACATAACAGAATCCCAAGGTTATACAATCTTATTCCAAGTTTTCAAAAGATTTAAGAGATCGAAAATTATGTAGAGGTGGAGAGAAGGGGTTTGAATGTGCGTAGGGACGTGTGAGGAAAAAAAGGTATTTATTTTTTTGTTAATAATTATGAATATTGGGCATATATCTTTTGTATTCTATTGCTGCAACTGTACATGTTGATGCACTGGTCTATAAAAGGGAATGCTGCTTGAGCACAGTCCTCTTGTTTAAGTGTTGGCCATTGTAACATGTCAATAGATAAGCTGCTGTTATATGGTATCGGTGTTAAGACATTGCATGCTGCTATACTGTGTAGTGTCATGGTTTTGTGTTTAGTGATGCAGGAGTTCCATGTGGAAGAGCAGTATTCCAGTTTAGGTCTGCATGATCTATGATTTGTGTTGAACTGACTTTGAGTTTGTGTTTAATTGGCATATTTAAGACTGTTCTGTGACCTTTTACCTTGATTTATGTGATTTTGCAGATTGTATTCACCTCAACATGTTGGTGAAATTTCATTAGGGTTAGGATTAAGGTTACAGTTAAGGTTTCGTTATTCTGCGGTCTTGTAGATTGATTGTACCCTCTGTATTGTGGATTGTTTCATAAATACATGTTATACTATCATCTTTCAAAAGTATCAATGCGTTTGATGTATTCTGAATTGATGTAAGAAAAGCGTTGGTCCGCAGAGGTTCCTTGGGGCACACCTGATGTATAGCATTACAATATGTTAAAAAAGTAAATAAAACATTTGTCTTATCAATTTAAAAAAAAACAAACTAAAGGCAGAACATCACCACGACCAAAACAGAGAGTGATATAACAAAATAAGATTAAGTCTTAATCACACAGGACTCTGTGAAACTGACACAAACATGAAAATTTAAGGATGGTCCTTTAATTCTACCACTACATTCTCATTATATTTTAAAAAACATACATTTATTTATAAATCGCAGCCAGAAACTTTGTTATGTAAGGGCTACCTAATCACCTGCTTTCTGTTCTGCATTCTAAGTATGGTATTACTTTTATATTGTATATCTGTAATTAACATTTTCCCTCTTAATTTCTTATATGAAGATATATTACAATTTACTGATTAGCGTACTTATATATACAGGTTACCTATGTATTCTATTTCTATGTCATGTAGATTATATATACAGGTTACCTATGTATCCTATTTCTATGTCGTGTAGATTATATATACAGGTTACCTATGTATCCTATTTCTATGTCGTGTAGATTATATATACAGGTTACCTATGTATCCTATTTCTATGTCGTGTAGATTATATATACAGGTTACCTATGTATCCTATTTCTATGTCGTTTAGATTATATATACAGGTTACCTATGTATCCTATTTCTATGTCGTGTAGATTATATATACAGGTTACCTATGTATCCTATTTCTATGTCGTGTAGATTATATATACAGGTTACCTATGTATCCTATTTCTATGTCGTGTAGATTATATATACAGGTTACCTATGTATCCTATTTCTATGTCGTGTAGATTATATATACAGGTTACCTATGTATCCTATTTCTATGTCGTGTATATATATACAGGTTACCTATGTATCCTATTTCTATGTCGTGTAGATTATATATACAGGTTACCTATGTATCCTATTTCTATGTCGTGTAGATTATATATACAGGTTACCTATGTATCCTATTTCTATGTCGTGTAGATTATATATACAGGTTACCTATGTATCCTATTTATATACTATGTCGTGTAGATTATATATACAGGTTACCTATGTATCCTATTTCTATGTCGTGTAGATTATATATACAGGTTACCTATGTATCCTATTTCTATGTCGTGTAGATTATATATACAGGTTACCTATGTATCCTATTTCTATGTCGTGTAGATTATATATACAGGTTACCTATGTATCCTATTTCTATGTCGTGTAGATTATATATACAGGTTACCTATGTATCCTATTTCTATGTCGTGTAGATTATATATACAGGTTACCTATGTATCCTATTTCTATGTCGTGTAGATTATATATACAGGTTACCTATGTATATTTCTATGTCGTATTATATATTCTATGTCGTGTAGATTATATATACAGGTTACCTATGTATCCTATTTCTATGTCGTGTAGATTATATATACAGGTTACCTATGTACCCTATTTCTATGTCGTGTAGATTATATATACAGGTTACCTATGTATCCTATTTCTATGTCGTGTAGATTATATATACAGGTTACCTATGTATCCTATTTCTATGTCGTGTAGATTATATATACAGGTTAACTATATATACAGGTTACCTATTTCTATGTCGTGTAGATTATATATACAGGTTACCTATGTGCCCTATTTCTATGTCGTGTAGATTATATATACAGGTTACCTATATGCCCTATTTCTATGTCGTGTAGATTATATATACAGGTTACCTATGTATCCTATTTCTATGTCGTGTAGATTATATATACAGGTTACCTATGTATCCTATTTCTATGTCGTGTAGATTATATATACAGGTTACCTATGTATCCTATTTCTATGTCGTGTAGATTATATATACAGGTTACCTATGTATCCTATTTCTATGTCGTGTAGATTCTCAAAGCGTGTTGTTGTACCCTGTATATACTTTTGTGTGTCTTAAACAGGGCAATATTGTAAAACTAAACGAAAGTCTAAATATGTAACCCTGTCTAAATAAAAGAATTTATCAATATTAATATTATTATTACTATGAAACTGACATTGGTATTAAAAATATTGGATATTAACAAATTCAAGTCAACCATTTATCAAAATTGTGATGTTTATGTACTTACCTGACTCTGCAACACTGTCTGTTGTACCGCCACTATACAGGAAGTAGGGGCGTGTTTGTACATTATTATCAAACGAGCAGGCTACACTTCCTCCAACATCCAGAACCATCATCCAGGCCGATAAACCGGAACATGAACTACTAGTTCGTATCAGAGCAAACTTCCTGTATGTGTCTCTGTGAAGTAATGTGTGATAATGATTAAACAAAATATATCTAATGAAAATGTGAAAATGAAACAAATATAATTCTGGTCGAGATACTGAGCAAATCAATAAAATACAAGAGAATATCAATAGGATTTTTGTCTCTTTCTCCACCTTTTCTCTTCAATCCTTCTATCTCTCCATTTCATAAATTCTATGTCAAATTTTCGCAATTCAAACTCATAATCGACTAAACAATAGGAACACATCAGGACAAGAAAGATTTACATAACAACCAGTGATAAAGAATGATGAGAATAGGTCAATGTGTTCTGGAAATATAGACGTGTTCTTCTCCATGTACCAACCATAGCAACATTGAGGACTTCTAGAATTACAAAGCAGTTATATGACACAGTTAAATTCATTATTTTGATTTACTTATCAAATTCCAAAATTTGTCCTGAAAGATGTCTGTATTTTGTACAAACTTTGGAAAGAAACAGATATGGCGTTGTTTCATGTTTTGGTCAGAACTTTTTTTTTTGGTGAAAATAGTAGTCCCTGGTTCTTAACGGTCACCCGACTCTGAAGACCAAATATAACAGCAGCATTAGTATCGGAAACAGTTGGTAAATCATTCAAACAGTTCAGAATATTTTAACTGGACGTGTTTGATGCTCGCTAGTTTGCCTGTTGGTTCTGGTGTTGTGTTCCTTGTTCTCATTTGAGAATGTGACATTACTTACATGGATTGACCAAGATTGACACGGCTGGTGTTGTCGATGAAGTAGAGGACGCTTACTCCTTTGAATCACATGTTCTTATTCTTCTTGTGAGTTTTCATGAGTTACCGTGTAAATCTTTCTTTTGTTTATATTTTCCCCTAGTTTTATTGAATTTGAGTTTGGATTGTTCATGTGTTGGCATATTTTGGGGTATTTTTTTGCAGTTAAGTAAACAAAACACTCTTCATCTATTTCACAATACTTCCACAAATTTAGAGGTAAAATGTGAGGTATGACTACAGTTTAAAAACATCAGAGCACACAAGAGAATTGTACCTTTCAATGCAAATTCAGAATTAGATACCGGGAAGCCAAATAATCAAACTGCATCATACAGCATTAACGTAAGCAGGTTTTCTTTTCAAAGAATCTCTCCACTCCAGCACATTTCTCCGAGTCTATGAATATATTTTAAATACTAGAGTAATTGTCAATTTGTTTCTGATCCTATAAACCATTTCTTAGTTCAAAACTTCGGCTTGAGTTTTAACTCTTTTTGTGCTAAAGTTATTGCGCTAAAATATCATCTCGCTAATTATAGTTGTCTGTCGTTAATATAGTAACTGTTGTGGACACACAAGTTCATTACTACGTCAATATCCCAAAGAGTGAAAATGGGTTTAAATTCATCGGGCCGAAATGGAAACATAAAAAATAACCTACCCTGTTATACCACTTGTGGTTGGTGTATCTGTTGTGATGTCAGTGTAACTAGAATATATTTTTTTTCCGTCAGCAAACCATGTTGACTTTGTTGTACCTCGTCCATCAAACACGACATATGCTTTTTCTTCGCCGCTTGTGAAATACGCGTACTTCACCTGTCATCGTAGGGGAATCATTTAAATAAAAAAAAAAACCGGCACTACTATATTATAACAAAAAAATGTCTTTTCTGACGATACCCGATTTCTTTTTTTTCATCTAGCATTAATAATATTCCATTTTTACAATATTGTTTCACGAAAATAGAATTTATCCTAAAAAACAGATGACATGATTTCAAGCGCTTTCAACATTTATGTTCGTAAACTGATAATTCAGGAGTGTCACTATTTATACCATGTAATGATATTAACCAAACGTTCACTATCCAAAACTACATTACAACAGGTAGACTGGGATATCTAACGGAACTTGCTGAACAAGATCTACGTACCATATCAATCATAGTAAAGTATCCCTGCCAGTCCTCCACCAGACTTGATTTCACAGTATCACTAGGTGAGTTTGTAATGGTGGTTTTCGTGTCATCGTTGTCGTTCTCAACAGCAGACCCCGTCCACAGTGTTACCAGTGACCCTGCCGCAGGGGTCACACCTTGGATTCCCTTGAAAACCATGTGCCATTCTGAAAACCGTGAAATATATATTTCTTTTATCTTATAAATGACAGTTAGAGTGAAAAACATACTACGTAAGTTCGCGTTCATGGAGTCAAAAACCAGAAATTTGATACATCAATACAGAGTATATTTTTAAACACGAAATAACATGTAATTGTCCACTGAACCAAACATTATAATTTTCAAGTTTGATAATTATATTTGGAACCACTTACCCATTATGAATATAGCCAAGCTGTCACCGGAGCCAATTGAACCTGTGGACAGAAAATGAACAATTTAGACAAGTACTGCCAAGGTGTCACCGGAGCCAATTGAACCTGTGGACAGAAAATGAACAATTTAGACAAGTACTGCCAAGGTGTCACCGGAGCCAATTGAACCTGTGGACAGAAAATGAACAATTTAGACAAGTACTGCCAAGGTGTCACCGGAGCCAATTGAACCTGTGGACAGAAAATTAATATTTCAGATGGCAAAAAATGCAATTGGTAGAGTTGTGTACATACCAGTCTGAAAATTTTGCAGTGTGGTACTAGTAGAATACTTTATATATGGACTACTGGTTGTACCAACGTCCCACACAGAACAATCAGTTACGGAATTATAATCCTTTAACATAATCCATCCGTATGTGCCAGTACATGAGGTTGTGTAAGCGTTGATGTAAAAGTTCCTCTTGACGTTTGCCGTGTATGGTCTGCAACAGAAAATTTACATAAAGTGTTCCTTGCACATTAATAAACTCACCATCGTATGTATTTGTAGAATGTATAAAAGACACGTCCTTTTCGTTATCAATAGGTATATATATAAACACAACAGCTATAGCATGTACTGTAAAAACACACGTGATGTGCGCATTTTTTTTGTTTTTTGTTTTTTTTTTGTTTTTTGTTTTGAGAAAATAAACGTCCAAAGTACGTAGCTGTAGGATTTTCAATGTGTTTTTCCTGGAAGATTCTGCGAGGCCGCCATGTTTGATTGTCGGGATTATCTGATGCTCAGAACTGACACAAAAAGGATTTGACAATTTATTTATGAAAAACAATAATAAATAAAATAATCAATGCAAACTATCGGAGTATCATGTTCGAAACCATTATAAACAGGATAGCAGCTAGCAGGACAATACGATCGGCAAGCACACTGCCCTGTTCTGGAATTGAAAAAAAATATGTCGATTATAATATAATTGTTTTTTGAAACACTTATCTGTTCAACTGTTAGGACAATAACAGTTTTCGTTTTAGTCTACTTCACGTCTGATATCACGACGAACCAGAAGCTATCAACACTTAGTCCGTTTTCATGTGTAATGGTGGACGTTATCATTGACATAATAGTATGCAGAGTGTCGATTGAGCTTTATCCTCTGACTATAGATTTAATTCAATATTTATTACAATTGGTCTTTATGGTGTTTATGAATGATATCTTTACGTCTTATAATAACTAGGGATTTTCGCACCAAAATGTGTAATGATACGCTGTTCTTCATTTGACAATACTCATATGCATGCTCATTCCTTGCGATACCATTCCGCGATCCGTATACCTATTGCTTGCTTTAGAGTTGGTAGTACATAGTCGGGGCCTGAAGTAGGGCAGCTGGCTCGACACGATGTGACAGCCAGGCATGATAGAAAACTTGACTCGCGGAGATCAGAATTACCTTAATTGGTCATTATATATATATCACAGGTATATATATATATATACATGGATTGTGACTTGTACCTGTGATTTCAGCATTGAACACTGTTGATTAAGGCTAGTATGAAGACAAATGTTTGTGTACTTCAGATAAATAATGGATAATTTGATAGGTAAGTAAATGATACCAAGACGTGTCTGATTTCAAAGAAAACAAACAAGAAGATGCACAAACATTAGGTTGTAATTAAACAGAAGGTTATTAAAAGAGAATACTTTCAAGTTAAACATTCCGAGATCGATTTTGACCGAATTTTGTGATGCGCACATTATGCAAGTAGACGCTCTTTTTACCATTTTCAGCCTCAAAAAAGTACCTGTGCGTATTACGTAAGTGCACACATCACGTAAGTAGAAGCTCTTTTTTACCATTTTCAGCCCAAGTACCTGCGCACAATACATAGGTGCACCCATTACATGTTTTTTTACGGTAATATTGTTTTCAAACTAGATAAATTATGTTTACATATCTTTCAATGTTTCTTGGAAACACTTACGTGAATCCGCAGTACTGTTCTGTGTAGGTCGCTATATCTGTGTAGCTGGAGCCAACAATATTATTACAGTCGAACCATTCCAACTTCCCTTTCCCACGTGCATCAAATATAACATAGGCTGCTTCTTCTCCGTTTTTGAAGACTGAAAGTCTCACCTATGAGGAATTATCACATATTATTTCGTATTTACCATATTTTCTATATAACCAGGGTTTAGTTTGACGTTATGTTGTTTTGGCAAGGATTAAATGAAGTTTTTAATACAAATAAAAAAATAATGATCATATGACAACCTCGTTATCAGTACAATACACTTTGTGACGTGCATGCAATATGACCTATCGGGGTTTAACATAGAGATTCCTTGTTGAAACTTGATTTTTTTCCCAAGAAAGCATAGTAAGCGTGTAGATTTTGAAAGTTTTCCCGCCACAACGAGCATTACAACATGTATAGTACAGAGATATTCGGACTGGTCAAGGTGATCAGTAACTGAGTCAAATCCTATTATTTTCAAAGTGATATCATTGTCAAAAAAGGAGAAAATATCAACCCTTTTAATTTTCGATGAGTAAAAATACTCCTTATAAGTTGATCTATTAATGTTTCACTGCGAAAGATATAATAAGATTTGGTCTTCTTTGGGGTATGTATTTTAGTTATTTGAAACATGTTATATAAAGGATGTTTTCCATTTGTTTCATATATTGTTCATAAAGAGCTTCCTTACGGCAGATATGGTGATGCCAGATTCCCACTGTAGCAGCTTTGAAGATTTGAATGCACTTCCGCCAGAACCGAAGTCTCGCATGACTGTCACGGATCCGTCGTTCAAAGTGCTAGAAGTGGAGCTGTCTGCGAAGTGCGAGTAGTAATCATTGTATCCTGATACTGTCGTACCCGCTGGTGCCTTGTACACCAAGGTCCATGCTGTGACGAGGTAACAAGTGATATAGATTACTAAAGGTGATCCAGACCTCTCATATGGTTATCACTATGGAAACGTCCTATATATATACAACTTATTATTATTATGAACGTCTCAACTCATTTACACATAGAATGTACAATATACATAAAACAGTACGTTTGTCAAACAGAACTAAATGAGCCATTCAGTAATGAATTATATGAGACAGATTAAAAATGAATATTATAATTTGAATGCATATTAAGACATACAGCTTCATCAAATAAACCTTTGCAGGTTCATCACCAAACAAATGAATAGAAAATTCGTGAAAAATAAACTTAAAATAATGACAAATTGCACAATTATCACCACGTTAAATATTGTCAGACACATAATTACTATATCACATATATAATTAATTGATCTATGTACAACAAAGTCAAATAACATATTTAGATCCTACTTACTTAAATAATTCTGTGTCATTTAAAATATTAAAGCAGTTTTTGGACCCGAGTTTACATATTTCACTGCTTGATAAAACGAAAGACACTTTATCACTATCGAGCATATCTCTAAAATCATCATTAATAGATTGCGCTTTCGAGGATAAAAGAGTTCTAAAGCCCTTGTACATTGGGGACCGACAGAGCACATGTTCTTCATCCTCCGCCTCTTCAAGGTAGTAAAAGCACACACGTTCGAATATAAAGATGTTTTGACAGCGCCCTGTCTCAATACGTAGTGGTGCCACCATACCAGCTACCAATACCAGTGAAAGGACACACAAGAATCAACAGAAGATCTAGATTAACTTACGTCCACGGTGATTTACCAATTGGGCATCATCTGGAAAATAAAAAGAAGGAAAAATTAAGATAATGTTAGTTAACAAGACGATCTATAACAGTACAAAACACAATTAACATTACCATATAGATCAAAATTGTGTGGCAGAAATCCCTTTCATATTTTGATGTAAAGAGGAAAACGTCCTGAATTGCGATCGTATGTTTATAGAATGTAATTTTATATGTATAGAATAGTGAACATCTTTTATTTTATCAACATAAACATATCACTCTTGTTGAATGATGTTGGAATAAGTCTTATCAATGTATACGAACCGTCACAAGCTTGTGTGTTACAGTATTGAGTCTCTGTCGCATCCCCAGAGCAGTAGGCCCCGGGAGACTCAAAGGAAGGGTTGTTACACGACCGTGACCTTGAAACTGATACACCTCCCCCGCAGATAACTGGACAGTCATCCCAGGCTGACCAATCAGACCATCCACCATTGCCTGGTTCACGAATAGAAAAATACATCATTTAGTACCTAGTCACAGTACCGAAATTACACCATCTGTATAAAATGCATTTTTGAAAAGTAAATACGCATGTTATTCATACAATTATAGGATTGAAGATCTTCATGTGCAAAATTCTGCAATATTTGAAAGATGTACCACGAATGTAAATAAGGTAACTTCAGATGAACACCAATTGGTTGAATAATTTCGAATAAAGTTCAAGTTCAAAAAACAATTTATTAAATAGGAAAGTTCAGATATACCATTGATTTTAATACCGAATTCAATTCAAAACATGATTTTAATTACGACAATAATGGGCTGACATTATGTTCAAACTTACGTCCGCATTCCCATGCCACGTAAATATATCCATTACACCCGGTGTTGGACAAACCAAAGTTAGTATCTGATATATACAGAGTGTACGAGTTCTTGTTGTCGATGTAACCTTGTATGTAACTCAGTACGTTATGGTTCGAACAGTCGTACCAGGTGGCTGATGTCGCGTCCATGAAATACCCCGAGTTGCAGCTAAAAGCGTAGTTGTTGTATTCATTTACGTTTCCAGAGTTTCTGGAATAACCTGCAAAAAATGAATTTGTGGTTAAAACGCAGACGGAAGGGCAGCTATTACACAAAGTGTACATGATGTAACACATTAACGATGTAGGATAAGGAAAAGTCTTCAGGGTGTTGGGAATCAAAGCAACAATCCGCACCATTTATTTTGTGAGTTTAGTTAAACGATTTATCTGATGTATATAAAAAAAGTGCGTGGTTTTCCATAACTAGTGTTAGATATGTCTCGAATGAAAGTTGCGATAACCATCTTTAAGTGTCATATGGTATAGATTTTTCTTCAAATCTTAAATGCCAACAAGTAATGTCTCTGATGTGAGCTACAAAGATAAATCTGAGGTACTCAAATAGTTTCTGGTACAATAATAATTTTGATTAGTAAGGTATTGACGTCATCGGCTTGGGCCGCATTTTTAAAATGTAAGATTTAATTTCTAATGAAGCAGAATACTCCACCGTGGTCTTAATCTCGGTACTTTGTCTAGAGTCTCCGTGTTTCGTATGCCCATATTCTGCCCTAGTTTTATTGAAGTTGAGTTTGGGATGTGATTACGTTGACATGTTGGTATTTAATTAGCTGTTACCGAACATTTCTCTGCACATAGTTTAATCACTTACTCCGTACCGCTGATTTCATCCACCTTTAATATGAGTTTTTTGTCAAGTCAGAATTTGTGTATGTTACTGTCCGGATTGTAAATGTTTGTATGTTGAAATCAGTCAGATTTTGTGTATGTTACTGTCCGGATTGTAAATGTTTGTATGTTGGAATCAGTCAGATTTTGTGTATGTTACTGTCCGGATTGTAAATGTTTGTATGTTGAAATCAATAAGATTTTGTGTATGTTACTGCCCGGATTGTAAATGTTTGTATGTTGAAATCAGTCAGATTTTGTGTATGTTACTGTCCGGATTGTAAATGTTTGTATGTTGAAATCAGTTAGATTTTGTGTATGTTACTGTCCGGATTGTAAATGTTTGTATGTTGAAATCAATAAGATTTTGTGTATGTTACTGTCCGGATTGTAAATGTTTGTATGTTGAAATCAATAGGATTTTGTGTATGTTACTGTCCGGATTGTAAATGTTTGTATGTTGAAATCAATAAGATTTTGTGTATGTTACTGCCCGGATTGTAAATGTTTGTATGTTAAAATCAGTCAGATTTTGTGTATGGAACTGCATGGATGTGATGTTGGAACTATCTGGATCTATTTTATGCCCGTAGTTACAAATCTTAGAACTCGGAGTATTATACACTTACTTAATCACGTTGAGACTCGGATTCTCAATTACCTTCAATGAATTTTAAGTTTAACACATCTCTCGATAATTATTGATATACAAGAGGGCCATGGCCCCTAACAGTCATCTGACAATCAAAGGATACACCTAGAAAGGCAAGAGAATTTGATGATAGTGATCTAACAAATCTGATGAATTCAAATTTTGAACATTCCTTGAAAGTATCGGAAACTCATCATTGGTAGGTTTAGTTCACGAGAAATAGTTGTGCAATCACGTTACAGTATGGCTACTGTGTCTATAATGTTGAAGTTTTAACCAGGCGGAAAAATGACAACATATCATCTGTTTGTTTTACGTGACTAATTAAACTCTTTATATTTCTCTCAATGGTGTGAATGAAACTGGAGAAGTATTTCAGATTATTTGTTCAAGTTGAGTTATGTTGGATTTTGGACCAAGACGAAAAAAAACAAGATTTAGTGAGGACAAATCATAGTCACATCATCGACGTTTGGTACCATTGCCACTCCCTAATAATGTATCCAGACATTAATTTAGGTGAAATCTGCTCATAAGTTTAACAGGAATACTGTTTTAAAGGAAAAGTTTATGGACGGCGGACTACGCCTGACGACACACAATAGCAATAGGTCGTCTTTATCCTTCGGGTCACGTGACCTAATCATTTACACTTATTTAGCCGGCTTTGTCCGACTTTGCAAGTATTTTTGATGCAAAATTTCAAGTACACGAAAATTCATGTCTTCCTTTCTCAAACCGAAAAAATATATAAGTTCCAATATGATATCAGTTATATACCAAGTTTCGCTAAGGTTGAAGGGTGTACTTTTTGAGCAACTGAACTAATTGAAGATCAGTGAAGAGGTTTATTAACATCGCCGCCGGAAAGTAATATTTTTGATACAGACGAAAACTGATTTCATGAAAGTGTAATTAGCGATGCAACGTTACAAAGAGCAATCCGTTTATCATTTCACTATTCCGTGTCTGCATCACAGGCCAGCTGCACAAAATGGAGAAGTAGAGCAGCAGAATTGTAATGATTTAAAGCTATCCAGTTAGGGACGGCAGACATATTTGATAGATTTATTTACTTCACAGCATATAATTAAGTAAAATGAATCCACCACAGAGTAAAAAGGGTGTTAATGAGTATTTCTAATATCATACAATATAATTATGACAGTGAACTCTTTTTCTGTATTGATATATGACTCCGGTATGGTATTGCCTCGTATGACGTCATACCATTGTTTCAAATGTATAATAAGTTTTTGTCTTGCTTACCGACGCATAGGACAATTAAGAACCTCATTCATTCCGTGTTGAATTCGGATAATATCAGCCATATGTAAAAGAAGAAAAAAATATCACAGCTGTCTTGACGATGTTGGAATACCAGCCACACGCTCGTCATAATCATATACGGTATACGCTGGAAATATGATTTTGAAATTTGAACGATAAAGAAGTTAAAAGTACTGCACAAGCTCGAATAAAAAATCAGACATATCGGTGCGGTTTGCTTGTTTTAAGTATTAGAAATCCCGGTTCTGTGGAATTCGGTGTGGTTTGCTTGTTTTAAGTATTAGAAATCCCGGTTCTGTGGAATTCGGTGTGGTTTGCTTGTTTTAAGTAATAGAACGCCTGGAACTGTGGAATTCGGTGCGGTTTGCTTGTTTTAAGTATTAGAAAGCCCGGTTCTGTGGAATTCGGTGCGGTTTGCTTGTTTTAAGTATTAGAAATCCCGGTTCTGTGGAATTCGGTGCGGTTTGCTTGTTTTAAGTATTAGAAATCCCGGTTCTGAGGAATTCGGTGTGGTTTGCTTGTTTTAAGTAATAGAACGCCTGGAACTGTGGAATTCGGTGCGGTTTGCTTGTTTTAAGTATTAGAACGCCTGGAACTGTGGAATTCGGTGCGGTTTGCTTGTTTTAAGTATTAGAAATCCCGGTTCTGAGGAATTCGGTGTGGTTTGCTTGTTTTAAGTAATAGAACGCCTGGAACTGTGGAATTCGGTGCGGTTTGCTTGTTTTAAGTATTAGAACGCCTGGAACTGTGGAATTCGGTGCGGTTTGCTTGTTTTAAGTATTAGAAATCCCGGTTCTGAGGAATTCGGTGTGGTTTGCTTGTTTTAAGTAATAGAACGCCTGGAACTGTGGAATTCGGTGCGGTTTGCTTGTTTTAAGTATTAGAACGCCTGGAACTGTGGAATAGAACTTTCTCGTGTACTGAATAAGAATCATCTAGGGGTGGGGGCTTCTGTATCAATGGGTATGAAAATAAACCGAAAGGGTTCAGACCAAACTTGTACAAATTAGAATAAAGGAATATGGAATTATCTACATATATGTTATCAATACATCAGGTTTCTGCTCATGACACATATTACAGGTACTAAAATTAACAGGCCCCTCGAACTTAACTCTCAACTGAATAAAACAGCATCACTTTTCTCGTTGCAAGTCTGATTTTTCACAAAATAAAAAAATGTACTTGAATATTTGATACAAGTGTGAGCCAAATGTCGAACATTCAAGTTCTTTTCCTTATTATCTACCATTTTATGCATTCGTTTAAAGCGAATTCAAGCTTTCTTCAACAGTCATTATTACAGGAAAATCCGAAATCATTTTTAAGCTCGAAAAGTTAATGTACATGTATGTGCTTAAGACAAATGTGATAGACATACTTTACAACACGACACGTTCTTTTAATAGAATATTTCCCGATTTTCGTGGTTATATACAAACCACCAAAATATATTGCGACGAATACCTTCTCATATTAAGGAACTGGGTGTCAGTTTTGTGGTAACCTACAACGCCTTTACTATAAAAGAAATCTACAGTTGTAACCACGACAAAAGCATCCAAGGAAAATTGTATACGCAACTTTAATATTTCCTAAACGACATGCTCACTTTAGATTTAAAAACGAAAATGTCCCCCCCCCCCCTCTTTTTTTTTTTTTTTTTAACAAACATGGCGCGATTCTTTTACTGGTCCGTCTTCCATTGTTAAACAAATTTGTGTTGTCCTCTCGTCATTTCAGTCTTAAAGGCAGTATAAAGTGATAGTTGATTTATAATCGTTATAATCAATGCCTGCCTTGATCAATTTCCATATAAATCCAACATATATTGATATCAGGAGATCAAAAATTCAT